TAAAAGGACAGGTGAAATGGACACTAGATCACTGAATGTAGGTGAAGGTGGGAGACAGATGGAGGTGTGAAGTACAACAGAAACAGAGATAGAAACCTCTCGAAGGACAAGAGCAAGAGAAAAGAGTTGGTTGAGAAGACCATTAAAGAGTGGTTAAAGATGAAAGTGTGGCAGGAATTCAATGAGAAAGTTTGGTTTGGGAAATAAAGCAGATTGAAAAATATCCAAAGATTGCAAGTAAACTAGATTAAAAATGTGATGTATTTGCCACTCAACTTGCTGCCACAATGCAAGAAGGGGGATGGTATATGGAAAAGCACTGAAGTGCAGTTGCTAAGGTGTTCAGAAGTTTTTAGAAGTTATGGTTGGTGTTTAAGCTGTATGGTTGCTAGAGTATTCTGGGTCTAAATTGTACAGAAGCTGCTCTCCTTAACCTTTTCATTTGATTCCCATTCAAAGGAGAAACAAGGGACTCTAGACTGTGATGAAACAGAGGTGCAGTCACATTTACTGTTGTTTGTTCAATTCCAAGCTATCTGGAATTTTGCGTGAGGGTGAAATGTGTTCTGCTAAGGTGTTCAGGAGTTTTTAAGATGTTCAGATCCCCACAACTGCATGTCAGTTGTACTGTACGTGGCCCCCAGCTAGTGGCGGAGGAATCCGTGGAGACAGCAGCATGCCTGGACACTCTTTCCCATAGAAATGAAGGCTTTGACCAAGGGCTGAAGGTTTGGCTGCAGGCTGGACTGATTGTCACACGGAGCGTGCCACGTTGGCCTCTGAAAATATTGCCCGTATTACCAAGATTAGAGGTGTGCACGCCCACCACGGTACATTTACCTCAGAGAGTGCAGAATGGCGGTGCCGGCGACGTCGAGTATCAATAATGTAGCTCTGGGAGTTGAGCTAGTCTTGTATCCATTCGAAAGAAGAACATTAGTGGAAAAAACTCGCTGTAAAAGAACTCGGACCAAACAAGCCAGACGTGAATATAACCCAACTGGTGCGAGAAAAGGAGAAAACCTACAAGAGAACATTTTCCCAAGGTTGGTTCGAGCGAAAGGCTTGGCTTACTAGCTGTGGTTATGCCAATGCAATATTTTGCTTCCCTTGCTTACTGTTTAAAACAAGTGCTTGTGAACTTCCCTATTATTTGTTGCGTTCCCTATTATAATTTAATAATTATATAATTATAATTTATCGTTACGCATTTGCAATTTTTTCTATCTGGACATGGAGCATAATAAACATGCAACTTGTTCATTATAGTTACCTGTGAAACTGTTGATTTCTACATGGCAGTTCAATTAATATTGTATTTTTACACCATTGGTATTGACTGGTTTAAGTTATTTTATTGGTATATGCAAGGGCATGGCCTAAGGCCTAAAATGCACCAGAATGCAGGAAATCACATCTACGAAATTCAAAATTTTCGGGGGAGGCATAGATAGCCCCACCTAAAACTATTTTCACAAGCTACCACTGCCGAGCATGTTCTTTTGTATGCCTGATCGAGTCCAGCTACATACAAAGAAAAGAGATCCTCTGCACAGGGGCAAGTTTGCTCGTTTCCCATGTATACCTAAAGCCCAAACTGGCTAAGGTGACTGGGCACTATCTCCCTTTGTTCGCACAACTGATCTCGTGACTGAGCCAGAAGTCGAGATAGCTGAGGATGTGAATTGCACGTTATCTCAGAGGAACAAGGACAGTCTCCGCTACCTTCGTCAAAACACGGGGTGACAGGGCCAGCCCCAAGGGTAGGACTTTATACGGATATGTCCGTCCCTCGAACGCAAAGTGTAGGAATGGTATGTGTCGAGGGAGAATCGAGAGATGAACGTACGCGTCCTTCAGGTCAACCATTGCAAACTAATCTCAGGGACGGCCGCACCCGAAGATGCAGTTCTGTGTTTGCATTTTGTGAATTGAAGCTTGTGAAGGGCCTCAAGACTAGCGGGTCCAAGATTGGCTGAACCCACCTCCTTTCTTGGGTACAATTAAGTAGGGGCTGTATCTTATACAACCAGATCAACTAATCATATTGTTTTTGTTTCCTTCCTTTTGTTTTGTTTTTAATTCTCCATTTTTAAATTTCTTTTGGATCTGTTTTGCCTCCATTTCTGGTAAAATAAGTGGATCCTATAACTGGCTATCTTAATGAGAGTCTGCAAATTAGTGCCTGACGAAAAAAAAATATATATTTCCAACATAACATCTATTTATCTTTCATCCACCCGCGACCCACCCACAAATGGCCCGTCCGAGCCGCGTATTATTGGCAGATATAACCACATCACTAATTCACACATTTTGAGAGCTTGCTTAAACATGGTGAGAATGCCAAGCACAAGAAATGCTTGCCACTCTATATCTATTTAAACATTTTAGTAGTGGTTCACCTAACTTTTTTCTTTTTTTGAAGATGGGAGCACCAGCGCTACCATTTTTTTTTTTTTTTTTGTTCGAGCCCTGGCTCAATCCCACCCTCCAATTCTGCATTCGACAGCTCAAGCTCATCGGGAACCACAAATGAGAAGTTAAGCTCAACCTTAGGCGAGCCGTCATGCATTTTAAATGCATGTTAAAACCAGGAGGAAACAAGGCCATGGTGAGCATCACTAATATAAAGTGTAAGACAGTATGCGTGTGAGTGCATAAGAGAGAGAGAAAGAAAGGATACAATTAGAAGTGTTCCCTGCTCAGCGGCTCCTACACACCACTTCACCTCACACTTAACTTTACCACACACACATATTCTGCCTCACCTCAAACATTGCTCCCTGACTCCAATTAGATCCCAATCCTCTTGCCCAGATTGCTCATTTACATTTTAATAATTTAAAATCAATCTCTCTTCACACCTGAGAACTCTACACACACACACACACACACACACACACACGCACACGCACACACGCACACACACACACGGGTGGTCATGTGTGAATGTATATTCCTTATAAATCCACTCATCTGTTAGTAACCCACCTGGTGCTCTGGAATGTGTGTGCGTGTGTGTGTGTGTGTGTGTGTGTGTGCACGTGTGCGAGCTTCACTTCTTCTGCATGATCTCATATCTCCCGCAACATCAGCCATTAAACTAGACCCTTCCTCATGCCTCATGAGAGATTTCAAAGTCATTTTGCTGTGTGTGTGTGTGTGAGAGAGAGAGAGAGAGAGAGAGAGAGAGAGAGAGAGAAAGAGAGAGTTACAGAAGCACGATGAGCTCCATCCAGTGTGTGAACTCAAGTGCTTCACTCCCATATGGTTGTTACACGAGGTCTATCTGTCAGCTCCTCTCTATCACTGACTAGAGAGACATCATACCCACACCCAAACTCTGCTTTACTGGCGCTCTAAGATTTAAAAGCACACTGTATTGTATGTGCACCTTTAGAGGTGTGAGGCTGTCCGGTTATAAGGGAGTTGCCTTACATATTCCTTTATTCGACTAGGAAGTCTGATGTTGAAAATCTGACAGTGATGATGCAACCGGAATGTTTGCATAATCAATAATGGCTTTTTCCTCTTTCTTAAGCCGTCTTCACACTGCAAATTTGGCACCCTGGACACAGAAGCTGCCTGTATCCATTTATCCATTTATCCATATATACTGCATATTACTATTAGTGGGCAATCAATGTGGATTTTTTTATAATTGTTGCTGACATCTTATAGAGCAGGGTGGCTGACTGCTGATAAGCAATGCTACAATAACATTTGTATATATAAAAAAAATAACCAAACATTATTCATTTGAAAATGACAAAAGAAAAAAAAAGAGTCTGTACAAGATAAAAAACAAGAATTTTTACTTTGGATAGCTTCTTCTTCTTGATTCTGTAGTATTATACAATGTTAATGAATGAAGATTTAATTACAAACATGACTAAAAATGAAGTATAGACAGTACTAACAGTCTACTCAGTTATTCAGTAAGTCTCTGTGAGCAGTGGGGATCAAATTTCTCAAATAAATAGGGTTAGGGTTTAAATACAAGCCTACAAGCCTGCGAAAACCCAGACAACTTCCGGCAAATTTAGATTTGCTCTCAAAGTTAGTCTGGCAAAGAGCTCATTCAAACCCATCTCCAGTCCGCAGAAATCGCGGTACCAATCAGAAACGTTGGGGCGGGCTTTACACGATGACGACAGCACTGGCATTTTGAAGCAGATTTTGTAGCCTACATTACAAAGATGGATGTCGCCGTCGAATATCACTCGCTCGAATCAGCTATCGTGTCTGTTTTTAAGCTATCTGAACGTTTCCTTTTTGTTAAAAACCGAGCAAAGAACAACACTTGGAGATGTTTCTCCGCCGGCCGCCGCTCTGCATACGTCATCTCCTTCATCGCTCTGATTGGTTTTAGGTCTACCCGCGACGTCCGTTGGTGACACCCCTCTGGAAATGATTTGTCTATGACGCTTTGCCAGACCATAACTCAGTTACAACTGAGAATGGTCTGGTTTTAACCAGACTATTTAAATACAGCAGTGTTTCTTGAAAAAGTGGGCTGCAAGGCCGTTCCGAGTGGGTCATGGAATGTGTAGTCAAAGAAACCACAACAACAAAATCTTAATGTTTTTCTGATGCAAGACTTTTGAAAGATTTTGAAAGATGTGCACGAAAGCTGTTGAATCTTCTGCAAAAACGTTGCTCTTCTGAGATCATGAGATGATGTCAGGCTATTATATCAGTGTGGTACCAATGAATACCAAAAGTACCAATAAATTACTTAAGTGCTATTTTGTGTCTAAGCTGGAAAGGGTTTGCACGCAGGTATGATGTTTATTCATCATGATGAATGCCCATATGTCTTATGTCTTATTCACAGCCCATGTTAATGTTGTGTATTCACCATGGTAACTGTAGTTTCCGTAACGTAACCCAAAATATCACCAATTCTATATTTTTGATGATGTATTAGGGATTTACAACACTTTTCCCCATAAATTTGCTGGTTTAGGGTTTTATGAAATGTCATATATACCCACAACAAAGCATGGACCGGCTGCAGTCTTCAGACATTCTTCCAGTAGTTTCATCCGTAGTCTCTGCAGCTCCGGACTATCCCACTCCTCTGGATCAATGCCCCAGTACAGGTCCACCACCTGGAAAACACACATACACAGATGTTTATACGCTTCAAGATGTAGTCACTGAAACGTTACAAACTTTTACCTAAACATTACAGACACAATTTTCGGTTGCAACTTGCAAGATATAAATCATTTTCATTAAATTGGTACTAAAATGACTTATTTTATTGAACTTAAAAAGAAAATTTTAGCAAAATATTCTGGCTATTTTTTTTCTTTTCAATGAAAAAAAAGGGCATAGGATTCAGAGAGGGAACATTTCAGTAGATCTACTGTATGTCTACACCCTTAACTAATGCCTAATTCTTTTTTTATTACCAAGTAAGAAAGATCTGGGGAGTAATAAATGCCAGGGAGAGTATGAATTTCCACACTCTTTCAGCACACATTAGCACTTAAAAAAAGAAACCACAGAGAGAGGAATGAGGGAAGAGATAGAGAGAGACAGAAAGAATGAAAGAAAGGAAGAGGGGAACGTAACAAGAAGAGCAAGGCTGAGAATGTGTTCCTGCAGTCAGCTAAACGCTGTACTCATGCTGAGAAACATTTCATTGCTTACTGCTCGCAATTAAGAGCCGCTAAAACATTCTGAGTGTCTCAACAAAGCCATTCAAAAGGGTTATCATTTATACTGATTATTATGAAGAACAATATGCTGGGCTGCCATATTATTTTGATTCAATTAGTTAACTAATTTCTCCACATACACCGATTAGCCAGACTACCTGCCTAATGTGCTTTGTCTGCCAAAACAGCTTTGACCCAATGAGGCATGGACTCTACAAGACCCCTGAAGACGTTCTGTGGTAGATGGCACCAATACATTAACAGCAGGTCCTACAATTCCTGTTGGTTGCAAGGTGGAACTTGTTGATCCAGCACATCCCAGCAATGCTCAATTGGATTGAGATCTGGAAGATTTGGAGGCCAGGACAACACCTTCAACCCTTGCCACTCAGTGTGGCAGGGTGCATTATCCAGCTGAAAGAGGCCCCTTCTGCCAGGGAACACCATTGTCATGAAGGGGTGTAACAGCAACCCACAATCCTTTCCATTTTAGAAATACTCTGACCCAATTGCCTTGCCATTACAATTTGGCCCTTGTCAAAATCACTTAGATATTTATTCCTGCCCATTCTCCTTAAAGGGATAGTTCACCCAAAAATGAAAATTCTATCAGTATTTGTTCACCCTTATGTTGTTCCAACCCCGTAAGACCTTCGTTCATCTTCGGAACATGAATTAAGATATTTTTGATGAAATCTGAGAGCTGGATCACTCCTGCATACTAGTCCATAGGCTTCTTGAGGGATTGAAACTTGCCGGCCTCGAAAAGTTTTTAAAGACATTGCTAAAATATTCCAAGTAACTTCAGTGGCTCAATCTTAACTTTATCAAGCGACGAGAATACTTTTTATGCACAAAACAAACATAAATAACGACTTTATTTCAACTATTAATTTCCTTCTCTTTGGGCCTCTAGTCAGTTAAACTAGTGTAATTGCGTAGAGCTACATCACACGTAGGCTCACTATTGGCTGACGCTGGTCATGTGTATGATGCGTGTGACATAAAACAACAGATCAGACGCTGTTAAACTAGTAACCTGACTCGAGGCCCAGAGAGAAGGAAGTGAATAGTTGAAATAAAGACGTTATTTTTGTTTGTTTTTGCGCACAAAAAGTATTCTCGCGTTTGATAAATTTAAGATTGAGCCACTGTAGTCACTTGGACAATTTTAACAATGTCTTTAATGACTTTTCCAGGCTGGCAAGTTTCAATCCCTCAAGAAGCCTATGAACTAGTATGCAGGAGTGATCCAGCTCTCAGATTTCATCAAAAATATCTTAATTCATGTTCCGAAGATGAATGAATGTCTTATAGGGTTGGAACAACATGAAGGTGAGTAAATACTGACAGAATTTTCATTTTTGGGTGAACCATCCCTTTAATCTAGCATGTTAATAACAAGAACTGACTGTTTCCTTACCATCTAATCCCAGACCTTAAAATGTGGCCTTGTTAGCAGATGATCAACTATATTCGCTTCACCTGTGACTGCTCATAGTGTAATTAGTGTACACTGTACCCACCCACCCAACAAACCAGGATAGAAAGAAATGTTAAAGGGGATTTCACATCTAGCTCATTATTCATGTTTTTGGCAAGCAGGGCAAGGTTAATAGCTGCGAGAATACCACGAGGCTGCAGAAAGGAGTGCTGCAAAGCACACTGGTCTTGATTTCCATGGAAGAGCTATATGGAACGACTTAAGAAAGAATTACAATGGTGGAAGGGAGCGAGAGGGAGCCACAGATGTGTGGCATTGATTCAGTTGTTTCTTTTATGTTAATGTGCAACAGTCATTTTGTTTTGTTTTGAATTTTATTAAGTGAGCCAATATAAGCCAATTTTATAGAAACCAAAAGTTTGAATGATTCATTATCTCTGGGAGCATGACTGAATTTAATTTGCAGCGTGTTTGGGCAGAGAAGTATGGAGCCCCCTACATGACATGCGGGGGAAAACAATATATTGTGGTCGTGAATTAGGAATTCATTCCCAAAAATTAAGAACTTGTGAAATTAAGAACTGTAGCCACAAACTAAGAAATAGTTCCCATGACTTAATTTGTTCCTTCGTCATTATAACGTGACCACGATTTAGTAAAACAAGGAAACAAGTTAAGATTGAATTCCATTACACGAGAATAGATGTTAAAACTTCATGCCGATTTGTACTCGGCTTTCACCAAGATAAGCACAAACTAAGACGAAGCTTTACAGTAAACTATGCTTCTCCATCCATTTATGCTTCTTTCCATATGGTGATGTGAATCTCCTCCTGTCCGGTGTTAACGGCTGCAGTGTACTTGGCACGTTAGGAGACACGACGGCTGCACCTACAGTGTGGTCTCCCTAGTGGACCAGTACCACAACCGTCTGGATTGAGCCGAGTAGGGTACACTTCTAGGGTCTTCAAGTAGGCACCTTCCATCCTCAGTGTTTCGTTGACTAGCCCATGACATCTCAAGAGGGCTCGATAGTGACTCTGGCATCCCAGAGTCACCCCCCCCCCCCTTGTCCCCCACTTAACTCAGCTCAACTTACTGACATTTACATCCCTCCTGCTGCTGAGGTTGCTCCTTCCTCGTAGTTCACATGTGACCTAACCACAATTTCACAATCTCTCTGCAACCAAACTATATGCGCCCACCCGTTGGAATAAGGCTGTTGAGCCCCACTTTGTTAAAGTGTTCAGTGGCAACGGTTCCGTATGGCATAACACCTACCGCAAAACACAATATCTGACCAAACACCTCTCATTCATGCAATAAACACAGGAACGTAATACCTGTAATTAAACTATACAAGTAAACCAACAAACTCTTCGAGTTTTTCAAGAATTCTATGAAACAGTAGCGTGGCGGCCTGTACACAGCCAGCCAGAATATTTCCGTCTCAACCACAGCCAGTTGCTGCTCCTCTCTGCTGCTTCAGATAAGTTCTTTACTGTGTGACGCAACTCTTTGCCACTGAATCTGACGTTTCTGAGGAACCGGGTTGAAGAGTGTGCCACAAATCCCCGACAACACACCTCCACTTCCACCTGGACTCTCCATCCTTGCTGTTCTGCTCCAGTGGCCAGATGAGCATACCGCAGTTTCTTCCTCTCATATGCCTCATCTACAGCATCCTCCCATGGCACTGTTAACTCTATCAGTTGAACAATGCAATCCAGTCCACAAAACAATATCTGGCCGTAGGATAGTGGTGGCAATCTCAGGTGAAAAAATAAGCCGTTGATCAAGATCAGCCAGCATTTTCCAATCCATAGCAGCTTCCAGTTGTCCTGGGTGAGATTTGGTTTTAACACCTTTATTTGGTGGTTGCTCGCCTGGGCGGAGGAATATTGTCTTCTGTGTGTAATGTTTTGCTAGAACAGGTGGCAACTTATTGGACGTGTTAAGCTTGCCTTCCAATGCTAAAACCAAACATCGCAGTACTTGGTCATGGCGCTAAGTAAACTGACCTTGGCTAAGAGCCACCTTACATCCTGTCAAAATGTGCCTTAATGTGGCAGGTGATGAACACAAATGACAAGAAGGATCCTCTCCTACCCAGAGGTTTAGGTTCTGTGGTGATGTTGACCTGATAAGTAAACTGATCCTACTCTCATCCATTGACCAAAGGTCTTGCCAGTCCAGCTTTCGTTGTTCCACACTCTCCCATCCCATCCACTCTCCCTGCTTGGCCTGGGAAATGGCCTTTATACACCTCATCCTCTCTTTTTGCACATTTCATAAAAATGTGCCGATGTATTAGTAAGTCGTGGGAATTAGTTGTTAATCCACTGCCGGCCATGATATAAATATTCCTCCCCCGGATGTCATGTGCGGAAAACATTTAAGAAATTCTGGCCTTGACTTTTCATTTATTCAGATGTTTTTGCCCAAGTGTACATGCAGAAGCACAAATTAATAAGCTGCTTAAAACACACAAACAGATACATTTACACATACACACACTTTTATATCCGCACACCAAAAAAGCTGTACCTGAACTAATGGCAAAATAATAGAGAAACAAAAAATCGAGATAGAAAAATGGCTCATGTCTTTGTGTGTGTGCTTAATGAAGAGAGACAGGACATTTCCTCAGCACCAGTATGACAGGACACAGGAATATCCCTGAACACATTTGTCAGAATCAATGTCACTGGCGCAGATAATTCAAATGGCAAACATGCTTCAGGGGGAATCTCTCCCTGCTGCCGAGCGTCTCGCTGAAGGACTCGATAATCGAGTATGTGTTTCTGTGTGTGCTGATCACATCTCTTCAATGTGTGAGTATGAGTGTGATTTGTTTAATTTGATGTTGATTTAATGTGTCTATGCTGGTCACGTATTTCTCTTTCTCTTTCTCACAATCTAAAGCAAGCCCAATAACATTCTAGTGTCATTCATATAGCTCTTTAGGACCCCAAACACATTTCTTTTGCTCGGCTGGCAA